TTAAATATTGTACACCAAAATGTAGCATTAAAAATGTTCATTTACATGCTTTTCAACACAAATTGCTTGGTAAGATATGAAAAATCCATATTTAAAACAATATTCAATTTCGTTTAATAGTTAATTATAGAATTTAACTTTTGAACAATTTAAAATATTTATTCTGATTGATAAAATATGGGTAGTGAATAATTCCGTTTGTAAGATTTTACAAATTACTTATTAAATGTGTAAAAATATTTTGTAGTGTTTGCTTCGCACATTTTAATACTAATACTAATAATAATAACAATAATAATAATAATAATAATTTATTTCGCCACTCCAATTATAACGTAGGACACATTTACATTGTAGAATCGACACATACACACAAAACGAAGCACACATCAGCTGCTCACATTACCCGGCAAAGTACTCACGTTGTTCACAGCACTGTAAGCGATAACTGTGAAAAGTTTCAGTTTTAGTGCGAGAGTTTATACTCTTATCTTAGAGCCCCTTCACATGGTGCCACTCAGCAGAGCTTCCGAGTCGCGCAAAGCAATGGTTTAAATGAAGGTATTCACACGAGCAGCGAAATCCCGCCGTCAGCTGCGCAGTCGCGCATCCATACCATCGCCATCAGAACACAGACATAAATAGCATTGGGTGAAATAGGGGTATTGAAAGCAAAATTAAAATGCTCCAGTCAGCTTTACAACTGACAAAGGGAAGGTTATGTACAACTCAATTATACCACTCAGAAACGTACATTAAAGACAACACGGTAAATTGACAAAAGGGGAGGATTAAATGCCAAGCAATTAGAGAGCGGTTATTTTTATGTATTTAGGGTTTTTTTCCTTTTTCTCTCTATTTTTGTTAACAATACCTACCTATTACAAGTATTAATATTTGCCTATACTAAGAAATGCCCCCTCGGGTTAGATATGTTTTTGCTAGTTACACACACGCACACACACCAAATATAACGAATAAAACTCAAATACGCGACACCTTCACCACCATTCACCCTACAACAAATGCCGGTTCGTACAGCTGTCAAGATGGCGACCATGCGCATCATATCGCCGCAAGGACGTGGCCTGTCCCGCGGGCATTCTGCGCTTAAGAGCCAGCCGTCCGCACGCGAGAGCGCCGAAAGAGACAATAGTGATGAGCGGGCTACTTTGGGGGGGGGGGGAGAAAGCCGGAGCGGGGTCGACGCAGCGCATAGGCTGAATGCCTGGGCGTCCAATGCAATGATGCGTGCTTTGAAATGATTTGCTCACTTATTTACATGGACGATCTACCGTATTTCTAGCTACAAGGGTCCTATTTCATTGATTATGTTCTTCTGTGAACTGCTATGTATCGACATACTTTTATTTTTTTACATTATGCGCTTTGTATCTCATAAACAATATTTGAAAGCTGTGGCCTCATTTAAACAAATATTATGTAATTTTAACTAACAGCAATTTACAACGTAATAAATTATTATTACCAGGAATGTTATGATCTCGAAATGGTAGCAAAACGGAGGAAATTGAGGGCTGTCTCTCACATCGGGTTTGATATAAAAATGAAATATAGGCAATTGCACAAAGGGTTATGTTTGGCAGCACATCATTGTGACCATTTCACCTCATTCTGAAGTTGAATGAGAGGTTCGAACGGGCAAACCTTTTTTAGGATATTTTAAGGGCAATCATGATATCATAATGAGTATTGTTAATAGCACGCAAAGGGCTTAATATTTGTATACCGTGTCGTAAACGATTATGAATAAATAGTGTTCGTTGATTTGAAATTAGGAATATATAATGAACTCATGTCGGAAGTTAAAGAATTTAAGCAGAGAGGAATAATTTTTTTTATTTTTTTAGCTTCGACAGTACCATCTTATTCAACATAGTTAATGAAAAATAATTTATTATTGACATCATTAAACAAAAAAGATTCAATATTACAATTTAGTATTTTGCAGCACGCTAAATTCGTGATTACATCGAAACAAAGCGAATTACATTATCTGCCTTACAACCAAATTATAATACTTATCTAAATCTAAATCTAATATGTATGTCTAATTCGTTTTAAGTTCATACTGTACATTGCCTTAAATCGACAACAAGCATTTCGAAAATAAAAGGTAACTATTCCCGAACTGAGTGTTACAGATCGCAGTATTCTCGCAATTGCTCTTTCAATTTACGCTCAGAGATTCTAATTGCACATTCTCATTGGCGGTCCGCACTACTAGACTGTGTTTTGTCTCCTCCTTCCACGAACTTGCACTCAAATTGCTCGCTCGCGGCTCCCGAGGCGAGTGAGAGCGCTAAATGACGTACAGGTCTGTTGTATAGTATCTATTCTGTGTCTCAGTGGCGCCACCGCGTAGGCCCGAATGTTGCAGGCGTCTCGCTTCGCGAGACGCTCGCAACATACCTTTCGCCAGTGCGCTCTCTCGGGATTGGCTGGGCAGCTTTGCCTCCAAGATCCTTCTCGCTTGTTGGGCTAGCGAGAATTACTAATAGCTCGGGCGGAATACGATAGAGACTGAGTGCAGTTTCGTCCGCCTAGAGACCGACTGAAAGTAATAGAGAGACGGACTGATGGGACTGTAAAGGTCCCTTCCGACTTCGCCCCTGCCGCGCGCTTCCGATAAGCAGTAGGGCCCTCCCTACTCTGCCAGCGCCGCACGCAGGCAGGGCAGGGTTCGCCAATGCGTCGGCGAGATTAACAAGAGAATGCAACCGGTGTCAGAGTGTGAAGACCTCCATTTAAGCCAATGCGTTGCTCCGCGCGGCGTCGCTCGAGCGGCGCGTGAAGCGGTGGTTGCGTTGCAGGCGTCGCGCTGGGCGCTGCGCGACTACCCGTGGGAGCAGCGCGAGTCGCGCGCGCAGACGCTGACCAACGTGCTGCGCGCGCTGCGGCGCGGGGCTGCGCGCGCGCTCGTCGCCCACATCGACCAGGTGCTGCGCCTCGTGCAAGAGGACCGCGCGGACGCGCTCGCGCCGCCGCCGCTGCACTTCGCCTGCGTGCGCCCCGACGCCGGCGCCGACGACGCCGCCGACGCCGACGCCACGCCCGAGGACGAGTCGTGCGCGGCGCTGGCCGACGCCGCCGTGGTGCGCGTGGCCGTCGTGGACGTCGCCGCGCTCTTCCAGGTAGGGGCTCAGCAGGCCCACCGTTTTCGCACCTTTGTCATTAAAATACTCAAATTTATTCACACTTCACTCACTTTTACACACAATACCCCATTTTTACGTGTTTTCGAGGTGTGGACATTTGGAAAAAATACTGAACCTGATTTATTCCAAAATAATTTTAATAAATTCTTCCTCCATGTTGAAACTAACGACGTGAGTTGCATCGTGTAATTGAGGGTCCTGCTGGTTGTCTATAACTCTCCACGAAAGGTCGTGTCTACCTACGGAGCCACGTTCCCCCCTGCGTGTGTATCGAAGTATTGATGCATCGATGATTTGCTCAAATTAATTTTATAGTCTACAAGTTCATTGCTGAGTGTTTGCGGACATGAAATAAAACATGTAATGGTACTTTTAACACCCTTGCAGGCCTTTCTGATTCTTTCTTCTGGATTCTCTCCGAAGTTCTGTTGAATACTTTATATCCGCTCTAATATCAACACAACAAGTTCAAATTTTTATGAATTCGATTTAATTATTTAAAATATAAGTACATATAATAAAAAATGATTTATCGCTCAAGTAAGTAAAATATCTTGTTATTAACTATATTTGCCTTAATTTACATGACAAATTCGTGTTTGGAATGTTCTCGTGAATTTAAAATTGTCACCAGTCACTCATATTTTTAGAGGTATGTTTCCTTCTTGAGTCGTAGTACTACTAGTAGTAATAAGATGTTCAAGGTACATTGGGTAGCAACTTCAAAATGTTATTTTCTGAAGTTACGAAATATTCTAAACAACTTTTGGCGATAGAGGCGCATTACATCAAAGTACCGATTTATCAGCGCAATTCAAACTTTAATTTTACATATAACTCAAATGCAAAATAATAATTTTCATATATTTCCAGAGATTTTACTGAAAACCAATGTCCGCAACTTTATTAGTTTTTGCGAGACTTTCCACTGAAACGTAACAATATTCTTTCACTTTGAACGAACAAATCAATCCAATAACGAGTATGCAGTAGTAATTAGATACATGTCCTGTTTTGATTAAGGACGTCTCGTGGACAAATGCCTATTACAATGCCTCTTTTCACTTTAAGCGCAAGAAAAATTATGAAACTATTTGAATTCTCGTCTGATTCAGCAACGGACTAGTGAATTATAGTTTTGTATTCACCCCGGGCGCAACTGGATGCGTTTGCCCTTCAGGAGACGTTCGGGGGCCTCTCGCTTTCCTCGGCGCAGGGGGGCCCAGATGCACGAACGCCTGTTGCAGGCGCTGGGGCCCGACGCCGCGCCCGCGGACCGGGCGGCCGTCGCCGACGTGCTGGCGCGCCTGGCCTTCTCCCGCGGCGTGGCGGGCGTCCCGGCGCTGCACACCAAGGGCGTCCAGTCGGTCTTGGGCAGCTGGCCTCGCTCGCGGTGGCAGTGCATATAGGAGGATGCGCGCGTCGGTGTGGGGATCGCCAGAATTCGGCGCTCTGACCGGCCGCCGAGCTGCCACGCGCGCCGCGCGCCGCGCGCGGAGCGCCTAGGCGCAGCACGTGGGCGGCGGGCGGCGCGGCCTGACGGACGACTCCCGACTAAGCAGCGCACGCGTGCGGCGTTCGGCCCCTGGGACGACGACGTACCGGGGCGTGGTGCATGCGGCGCTGGCGGCGGCGCGCTCCACGCTGCCCGGGCGCATCACGGGCGCCGGCGCGGAGCCCACGCCCTTCGCCCAGCGCCGCGCCACGCACGCGCACGGGCCGCATCGTGCAGCCGCGTGGAGGGCCGCTGCGCGATGACGACGCTGCCCCCGCCGCCACCCCCGTGTAGCAGGTGGATGGTGCGTGCTCCCTCTTCCAGGCCTTCGCACGCCGCCCACCTCCGAGCGCGACAAGGCCCGCCTCTTCGAGTTCTTCGACCACCCCGACTTCAAGACCTACATCCACGGCTTCAGCATCCGGCCGTACCTGAAGCGCGGGCCGCTGCTCAAGGACCTGCTCTGGCACCTGGTGGCCGAGTACCGCACGCAGCCGCTCGACCCCGACACCTTCCAGCTCATTCTCAACGTGCGGGACCACGTGATGCTGAGCGGCGCGGGCGCGCTGCCCGTGGAGAAGGCGTTCGTGTGCAACACCACCGGCTCGCCCATCGACGACAAGCCCAAGCCCATCCTGCCGGCGCTCACGCCCTGCGTCGGCACGGCCACCGACGTGCACTCCAAGATCGACGTCTTGACGCTGCTCACCGCCTTGAAGGACAGAGTCCCTCTCTACATCGTCACCGCCTTCATGCAGCACATTCTCAACACGTCGATGGAAAACGACCTGCAAGATTTCGAAATCATTGCCTACGAAACGAGAGGACAACTGCTCACGGGTATTCTGGGTTACATCGCAAACAAAACACACGTGGCAGACGAAACCAGAGAAACCTTACTGAAGATGCGCGAGTATGTGCTTCAAGACGGTCCTGGGGCAGTGCGTTTTACCGTTCACCCTTGTGAGGATCCTATAGAGTATCCGCAGAACGGTACGGGCCCCATACTGATGCAAAACGATGGAAAGATCTGCGAAAATTCAACGGACGCGGCGTCCTCCGCTGGGTACAAGTTGCACCTGTCCTCCTTACTGAGCGTGATTCGCGGGAGCGCTCCGCGCCGCTACCTCGTGCAGACGCTGGCCTTCCTGTCCCGTCCCGCGTCCGCCTCTTCGCTCACGAGGAACGTCGACGTTTTGGATTTCTCGTCGCGAGGGCCGCTGTTCAAGGAATTGCTCACCGTCATTGCCACTAAACCGAACGTGGAGAGGACAGTGCGGCGGGCGGCCACGGCGCTCATTCCGTACATTTACCTCAACGGCCCAGGCAGGTTGCCGCTCATCCTCCTGACAAGTTGCAGCGAAGACGAGCAACTGGCGGAGCCCGCGGAGACCGCCCAACCGCAGTCTGGCGTGTGCGCGCAGCTCCCCAACGGAGAGGCAGCGTCGCTCGTGGACATGGAAGCCTTGATCCGCGTCTTCGACTCGGAGGCGCCTCTCGTCCACAAAGCACGATTTTTCGGTTTCCTCTCCCAGACCAACGTACACGAACTCTTGAAAAACGTGGATATCGATTCTTACATCACTAAAGCAGAATTAATACAGGACATTCTGGTAGAACTTTGGATGAACACATCTTACGGTGCTGACTTGAGTGAAGCGGCCAAGAAACTGCTACCGTTTGTGTCTTTTGATGGCATTGGTGGGCTTCCACCCAAACGAACAGAAGTGTGCTTCAACCCTGACACCAAAGAAATTCTTGTACCCCCCTACCCGCAACCGATGGAATGGAAATTCGAGTTCGTGTCCGACAAAGAATGTTCGTATCTCGACCTTAGCATTCACGCGACGAAAGTGTACTCTTTCGACCTCGATTCCGTGTTCCTAGCGTTCCAGCAGACCGCGAAGGCAGAGGAAATCGCCGTGCTGAAGAACTACCTGCTGCAGCCCAGCGCCAGCGCGCACTTGCAGGGGCTGGACCTGGAGAAGCAGGTGACGCGCGGGCAGCTGCTGGAGAACATCGTGACGCTGGTCAAGTTCTCGCGATTCAGCGGCGGCCGCATGCCACCCGACGTGAAGGACGCGCTCAAGCACCTGGCCCGGCGAATCAACGCGAACGGGCCCGCCGCGCGCGCGCCCGTCGCCGTCTCCAGCCGCTGCCGCCCGCAGGCGAAAGGCGCAGCGCCCTTGCTCAACCTCTTGATCGCCATTCTGCCCGAAGACGACCGCAACCCCTCCGTTACCAAAGCGCTCAACGATATCTTCGAAGCTCTGCTCAGTAAAAAGGTCAGCTTGTACGATGTGCTGCCAGCCCTCGACCCCAACCAACCCCTCTCCAGGTATCAGCTTCTGAGAATCGTCCTCGAACGGCTGCGTAAAATACAAAGTCTGAAGCTCGATTTCGAGATATCGCTCGTTCTTATGCACATCTCGGAAAAAACGAGCGATTCGGAACTCCCGAAGCTTGCGGACGCTGAATCCAAATCAAACAACACTATTGTTGACATCGACTACATTGAATTAATAAAGGTATTCAAATCGGAGGCACCAACAGAAGAAGTTTCGATGCTGGAAAGTTTTATGAAGAGTCCAGAGTTTAAGGAAAGTATGAAAGACTTCAACGCAACTTCTTACATTCGTCAAGGTGAGCTTTTATTAGCTATGCTTGAGTATTTGAAAGCCTTAGTGAGACCTGATCTGAAAATTGCTATTGATATTTTGATTCCATACATTGATTTTGAGGATTTGGGGGCATTGCCGCCGACAATACACAAAGTACACGTCAAAACGAGAACTCAAGTTAGTATTATAACACTCGACTTTGGATTGCTGTTCAGATCGATTCCGAGAAAGAAACTTACTCCTCAAGGTAAAGTAGCTTTGGATGCGATATTCAAGTACCTTTCTAGCCCAACAGTCGACTTCAAAGAGTTATTCCGAGGTATAAATCCTCAGCAGTCTACGCGAGTTCAATTAAAAATACTTCTCTTAAAGATTAAACAAATGGCTGGAGAAGAAATTTCTGGCCATGCTGCACACCTCTTAGATATCTTGTCTAATGAGATGGACGACACTGCTACATACAACCCTGTTGCTCTGCCAAACCTCGATTGGATTGAAATTCTTCATGCAGTTCCTGAAACGAAGGTTCCACCTGAAGTATTAAACGCAAAGAGAGATCTATATACATTTTTCATTTCGAAATCTTTTAAAAATGTTGCCCACAACTACATTGCTGATATATCCGAAACACGAGCGAGATTCCTTAAAGATTTACTGTTCTTCCTTCGTGGTAAACCAGAGCTGAAAATGGTGAAAAGTTCAATAGCCTACGTAATGCCGTTCATCAAAGAAAAGGATTTAGGGGAGGTTGTTATTTCGGATGATATTATATCTCCCAGAGACGAGGAAGAAGGAAAAATCGGACAAAATAGAGTGAAAGAATTACTCTATCAAGTACTTGGTATGGTAGAACAACGAGGATCTCTGGATGTTGTTCAGAGTCTGCAAAAGATATTTAAAGAGACTCAAGTCCAAATTGGTTCAACATTTATTGGATGGGATGTTTTAGAAGACTTCCCGCAGAAAGAAAGGATTATCATAATTCTCAAACGAATTCGCAACAATTTCGGACTGTTCCTTGGCGCTGACACCATGGCAGCAATTACAATGGTGCTGGAGCAACTTGGTCAAAATGTAGACGAAATGGATTCCCATCTCAGTACCGACTTACCAGTTGACTTAGAGACACTTCTCGCAAATGTTCTCAATAATAAAACGCCTCCTGAAATAAGAAATGCTATGAACCTAACTTTGACGTACTACAACGAAAACAAATTCCTGTTGGGTCGCGCTTTCGAAGGAATGGTAGATAGCATGAAGAGGCTCAATAAAACGTCTCAGCTCTCCGTCGTACTGCGCGTCTTCTGGAAGCTGCAAAACAGAGAGAAGGACGCGCTTGACCTTCACCCCAGCAACAAAACATACGTCGACCAGAATTTGGATGCTTTGAAAAAATTGTACAAGTACATCAACCCCCACAAAAAAGGAATAGACGTTGGCTCCCAGGAACATTACACCACAATCATCACAACTTTAAATACGCTCGTTTCACCAAACGCCGAACCAGAGGTCCTGAAAGCAAAGAACGTGATCGAAGACCACATGAACCAGCATGAACACATTTACGACGAAGCCTTGGCGAGGCTTGTCAGTTTGAACCTGACTCCAAAGGACCTCGTAGCCCGCGCTCTGCGGCGCTACCGGGAGCACCAATCCGAAATGGCGCCCGACCTCTGGGCGGCAGTGAGCACCATCTTCGACTACCTGGGCGTGGAGGAGCACGACTCGACGGAGGACGAGACTGACAACAACTTTCAGATCGTGGACGAGTTCAAAGATCTCCTCGACGAAGCGGGCCACGGGGCAGGGCGTTCCAGGCAAATCGTCCTCAAATTTATGGTGGACCACAAGGACGAAATCACGCGCATCTTCAAAGGCCACCGAACGCTCTTCAAGTACCCGTCCAGAGACAAAATGGCGCTTCTCCTCGGCCGTCTGCTACGGTTCTTCCGACATAAACTGGATCTTCCCGTTATCACTGCAATAGGAGATATTTTGCGACGCTTGGAAGTAACTGGAGAGTCAATGGAGGAAGTCTTCCTCGAAGAAAGCGACGTTTTCAAATTACTGGAAGATGCTGTAGATGAAGACGCAGACGATTCAGTCCAAGACGCCAAGGACGTAATTGAGCACTTCTTCCAAACTAACCCTAACAAAACTGAAGACGTACTCACTGGCGTTATCATAAGAGAAAATTTCGGTACGTTCAGAAGACTTGCCGCGATACTTCGTCGTTTGCAGAGAAAATATCGTCTGTCCCTCAACTCTGAGGAAAAAGAGGCACTAAAGGTTCTCTTCCGATACTTGGAAGTCGACGAAAACAGTTCGGTTGAAGATCAATTTGCCGGCACTTACAACTTCAACTCGCTGTTCATGAAGGTATTCCCTAACGACACCGAACCTGAAATTTTGGAAGCCAGCCAACGTATGCAAGACCTGCTAGCCGAAGCGAACGTAAAATACGTTTTACGTGGCCTCAACCTGTGGAAGTTGACGGAAGAGACGCAAGTAGGGCTCATCCTGTACCGCATGCACAAGTACATGAACCTGAGTGCGGCTGACAACGCGACGCTCATGTCGCTGCTGGACAACCTCGACTACGAGCTGATGGAGTTAGCCAGCGACGACCGCGACGAGACGTTCAAGCCCGAGGTAGGGGATTTCGTTTACTTAGCCTTCTGGCTATTTGTTACAGAAAATACATTATTAACTTCTATAATTATACTCTACTATTTACAAAATTAATTTTCTATTTCATGTATTTTATAACTTTTATTTTAATTTCTTTAATCTTCATTTTTTATTTAAACGGTTATTTATTATATACTTCAAATTCTTTGTCAACTAGTACATTTTTTGCTTGTACAGTTTTACTGGAATTAATTACTAAATGTTGGGCTTGGGTTGTTTCCCTAGTTGTTATATTTTTCACTCTTTGGAGTTTGTTTACTAAACGTCCTGTTACATGATTTTAATTAATTTAAAAATAAAAATTAGCATCTGACTCTATTTTGCGGCATCTGAATTTATTTTATTTTCAGTCATTTGGGCTCCAAGTAGTGTTGTTGCACTGTAATCAAAATCGGATGCATTTAAGGAATTATATATCCAGCAACATTTTTATATTGTCCAATTCTGTTTAAAATACTAATATATTTCAAGTTTTCTTTACTACAAACTCTATATAATTTTTAAAATTTGATTTACTATCCATAATTACTGCCAAATATTTCATTTTGTATATTAGTTGTATTAACTTTAAGTCACTTGTGAATAATTTCGTTTCTCCAACTTATGTTTCTTCCACTATGTAAAATCACAAATTTAATATTTTCAACGTTCATTATTAATTTATTGATACTTAACCATTCTTGTTCTGCAAGAAATACATTCTGCAGTTTAAATTCAATTTCCACTTCTGTTTCTCCAATTACATACGATAACGTCCAAATAAACAGCAAATGATTGAATTGTACTGTCATTTCCAAATAGATTTATCATATATTTGATCAAGTCATTAACGTAAATAAAAACAACATTGTGCCCAAAACTGCCCCTTGCGGAACACCTAGATCTCTGTTGAGGAATGCATCGAATCCCTTTGCAGGTGCTGTTCGAGGAGGCGCTGCGGGGCCGCGGCCCAGTGCCGCCGGCCGTGCAGGAGGCGAGCGGGCTGCTGCTGCACCAGCTGCTGTCGGGCCGCAGCGCCCTGCGCAACATCTACCGGGGCGTGGACTTCGACGCGATCCCCTCGCCGCAAGGCCGGCTCATGGCGCTGCTTCGGAACGTCTACTACAAGCGAGACGTCTTGGGGAAGAAAGTGGCGCAAGCGCTGCAGATCGTCGCCGAGTACTTCCAGGTAGCTCACATTCTCGCCTTTTACTTTCTCTATACGGCGTACAGAGAAAGTTATGTAATGCAGCGCGAAAAAACGGCAAATTTTCTGCAGAAAAGCTCTCATTACAAAGCCCTGGTAACGAAAAAGTTGATAAATCCATTTGCTAAATTTAGAGGGGAATTCTTCTATTACGTGGTGTAGCCGGAATCCATATTTTGTGGGTCCTTGATACTGAAAAATCGAATGACGCCAAGATGTGTCTGTCTGTGAAGAACGCAAGCGGTTCGGACGACTTTCTAGAAAATTGAAATACCCCAATCGATCTGGCTAATGTCGTGACTCCTGGAATTTGAAACCAACATTTTAATTTTGGGGGGTACTTTACATAAATACCCTCAGGCATTTTCAAATTTAAAAAAGACTACATTTTTAATCAAATTTTGTAATTTATACAGACCAACACGAAAATACCCGTAACTCACCTTATTATAAATAACACCATAATTAAAATATGAATAAAATAAATTATTTTTTAACAATCTGTCTATAATGACAGCTGGGACGGCTGCTTTCTTGCAACCTAAACAACTTTTAAAACTGCCCCAAAAGAGTTTTAAATTTGTTTTATTCTTATTTTGAATATGGTGTAATTTATTATAAGGTGTCACTGAAAACACGTAAAGCTACCGACCGTAATGGCCCGACCTGCCATAGCCATTGTGATATCAATAACCAGAAGTGTATACGTAGGAAAGATTTTCAGTTTACTTACGATTGTTTCCTTACGTTTCGCTGAGTGATTGGAAAGCTTTTCTATAAGTATTGAAATTTAAATTAGATGCCGATATTACTGGTCTCGTCACTAGGTTCGCTAGTGAGCAGCTGTCTCCCATTAAATGTATGAGAAAGATTCAAAGTGTCCCGTTTTGTCTGCATGGAATTTGGTAAAAAGAGATATGTACAAATAAAAAACGTTTGAAAGGCAGTATTTATTTGGCTGTCCGGGTGACGGCGCGTCCATGGCAAAGGTGCCGACGTTTCGGCTGCCATTCCGCGACCTTCCGCCCTGAGGAAGGCCCTGAAGGCATTACGCCCTGAGGAAGGCCAATTAAATACTAACTCCGCGGAAGCCTACTCACTCTTTTGAAAGGCACTTGGGCTGGTACGAAGTTGTGGTGGTGTCGCTGTGCGCAGGAATCGCTGTCTGACGGCGAGATCGACCCGTACACTTTCGACTTCGCGGGCACGTTCTCGAAGGCGGTGCCGTCGTTCGCGCCGACGCTGGCGCAGCACGCCAAGCAGGTGGTGGTGGCGGCGCTGCGCGCGCGGCCGGGCGCGTTCAAGAAGCCCCTGGAGGGCGTTCGCGCGCTCGACAGCGAGGACGAGGTGGCCACGGCGCTCAAGGTGAGGGGCTTTGAAACATCGACCTTCTACACAGAAACATCGGTCTTTTTCAAAGAATAATCAATATTGTTAACGTCGATATTTTTGTGCAGAATTACTTATATCTAAGCAGAAATATCGACAATTTCACCTGAAATTTCGATATTTAATGCAGAATTATCGATATTTTTAAGCAGTAATATCTGTATTTTAAGCCGAATTCAATCATTTTAAATAGAATCATGGAAGTGTAGCCGCTGCAATTGGTACTCGCGGGGCGTGGCGCCTGCACCCGAAAGCCTTTCATTCATGTGTTGGTGCCGCAGGAGGTGCGCGCGCGGGGGCGTGGCTGGAAAGCCTTGGTTGAGGAGTGGGTGCGTTGGTGCCGCAGGGGGTGCGCGCGCTGGGGACGTGGCTGGAAAGCCTATGGTTGAGGGGTGGGTGCGTTGGTGCCGCAGGTGGTGCGCGCGCTGGGGGTGTGGCTGAAAAGCCTTTGGTTGAGGGGTGGGTGCGTTGGTGGCGCAGGTGGTGCGCGCGCTGGGGGTGTGGCTGGAAAGCCTTTGGTTGAGGGGTGGGTGCGTTGGTGCCGGCAGGGGGTGCGCGCCTCTGAGGGGGCGTGCTGGAAAAGCCTTTGGTTGAGGGGTGGGTGCGTTGGTGCCGCAGGTGGGTGGCGCGCGCTGGGGGCGTGGCTGGAAAGCCTTTGGTTGAGGGTGGGGTTGCGTGGTGCGCAGGTGGTGCGCGTGGAGGGCGTGGCTGGAAAGTTTTTTGGTTGAGGGGTGTGGGTGGCGTTGGTGGCCCGCAGGTGTGCGGCGCGCGAGGGCGTTGCTGGAAAGCTTTGGTTGAGGGTGGGTAGCGTTGGTGCCGCAGGTGGTGCGCGGCTGGGGGTGGTTGGAAACCCTTTGGTTGAGGGGTGGGCGTGCGTTGGGCCGCAGGTGGATGCGCGCGCTGGTGGGCGGTGGCGCCGGCGCGTGGCGCGCGCGAGTGGGCGCGGCCGCCGAGGTGCTGGGCCGCTTCCTGCGCGGCGCGTCGCTGGACGGCGCCGAGCCGGCGCTGCGCGCGCTGCTGCAGGACGACGAGGACGACGCCGACGCCGACGACCGCCCGGCGGAGCGCGCCTTCTTCGACGACGTCCCGGCGCCCGCTACCGCGCCCTCCCACAGGCGCAAGCCGCGGCGAAGGCTGGGCCGGCGGCGCGGGGACTAGCGCGGGCTCTCGACCGCCGCTCGCGCGGCTCCCACCAGTTAGTTAACGCCTTAAGTGGCCGCACTCGGGCCTCTACCTTTCCACCTCTAGCGAGGAAAGAAGGTCTCACTTGGGCATTAAAATTTAGCTCAGGGGGTTCTTTTAGGCTTGAGTATATTTTTTCTTTACATGCAGTACATCTACAACATGGGACAGCCGGCTTTACTTCCCGGCCGAAAGGAAATTTAAGATGCATGTTTAGGTCGTTAATAATCGCCAATTTAGGGTTTGAACCCGCAAACATGGGGAACAATAGTCCGATACGATGACCGTTACACCAACGAATCCGCTCCTATTCTACTGCGCGATTCCAATAATACAAGCAGTTCTTAAAATATCAAGGTAATTCAATAAATAAGTCGCAAAACGAGATTTTCATTCAACGTAACGTTCTGAAATTTATTTTTTCTGTACAGTATGGCCCACCAACTATGGGCCATCCCTACAAATTCTAAACGGTTCCCAAAATCGAAATGTATGTTTCCACTCAAGAATGCAGAATCTTGGGGCAAGTGGAATGGTGTAGTGATATTGATCGAAAATTTTCAGTTTTCGGTAAATTTGATAATTTTTTATTTTTATTTTTAATGGAACCAAATGTTTTTTCACTAACTCACTGATATACATCATAAAAAGAGAAACACAACGATGAATTCTATGTAAATACTTTGGTAGTAATAAGAGCACTTTTGGGGGAGAGGGCAGAAGCCGCGAAGGCCACCTTCCCCAAAAGCGTGAGTCGCGAGGGGTGCTACAGGAAATGTTTCTCGTTTAATTTAAAATCCCATGTCAAAATATAATTTTATATTCAAAATTCTATTAAATGATTGACATATGTTACATCATTGCATTTCTCTTTTTAAAATCTATCAATTACATGTTAGAAAATTATAGTTACATTTAAAAAATCAAAGATGATTCAATTTCTCGAAAACTAAAAATATTTGAAACAATATCTGTACAGCATATGGCTTGCTCCACGATTCCGCATTGTTAAAGGAAATATCCCGGTATCAATAAAATCAGCATTTACATGCAAATGTGGATTATTTTTACTTTACACTTTGCCGTCCCTCTACATCTGTGACCTTCAGCAGTTATTTTCTGAATAAGTAATCAAAATACAAATCTAAATATTCCCACACAATTCAGCTTTATAATATTAATTCCAACCTCTGTATAATCTCGTCAATTGTACATTTATGCACATCAGTCATAGGTACATCGAGGCTTTAAATATTTTTCGTTAGTTATTAAACAACACACTTTTAATCAGATTTTCGTAGAAAACATTGTTTCCGTCGTCTTTGGAGTCTGCATGGACAGTGATTGTTCGCCTGTGGGCAACTTAGGGAGCACTGACGTCACTGAAATGGTGGGGGGGAGAGCGGGCACATCAGGGTGGCCCCATAAAAATTATATTAAATTGAAATATTAAAAAATCAATTTTTTGAAAAATCCATTACGTAATAAGTAGAAGGCGCATTTTAATGAAATTCCATTTCGTTTCTTTTCCCTTTAGTATAGACATGCATTTTAGTATAGACATGCATTTTATGTTATAAGAAATGTCCCATTTTAAATGACGATTTAGCATTTTTCGTCGATTTCGATTAATGAGTCTTTTTTAACCTTTTCCGCTTTTTTTAAAGCATTTTTCGCTGATTTCATCGATTTTAATATAATTTTAATGGTACTTGCTTCGAATAATATTTACTCGATACAACAAATGTACTCTACAGAATTCCTGAGTAGCCTATTCGATTTCTCCGCTCAGAAATTGTAATGTCATCCGTTATGAGTATGTGATCTAAGGTTCCTGTTACGTCTACCAGCGCTATAGTCAGTTCAGCCGATTTCGTGATTCCAAAAAAAGAAATCCTGGTATAGAACTGCTCAAACCAAACTTTTTCAAGCTGAGTTCACTTAAATGAAAGGAAGAAGCCTCTATTACATCAATAACGTAACAAACAGCTTGTTTAATTAGATCGCTGGTGAGGTAGATCCCTTTTATTATTATGATAAATAAAGGATGTTGTCTGGTATCAATAATTTTATTACGCTTATGATCGTTTCGTTCGCGTAGCGATCATTCTCAGAGCTAATGATTAGCTAATCATTATCTCTGAGGATGATCGCTGCGCGATCGAAACGATCATAAACCTAATAAAATTATCGATATCAGACAACATCCTTTGTTTATCATAAACAGTTTGACTTGTTCATCTCAACTGGTTTTGATAAACTTTTTCAAGTTTTTTTTTTTACTTTTAGAATATTTTTAAAACTTTTATGGGATCGTCCATAAATTACGTAACGCAAATTTAAAGTATTTTGAATACCCCCTCCCCCACAGTAACGCCCCGCAATGCGCGCTTGAACTAAAAAGAAATTATATCACAGAAAAAACAATTTGTATGTATATTATTTATGCTGTTTTAAAACGTTTGATAATTAAAGTCAGAATTAATTGGCGATGCTAACTACACGTAACCATAAGACTGGGAGCAGGTGATATGTGAAGGAAGGACAGGCACAGGCGTGAAACTGTCTTACAACCCATGAACACGTCTTTGTGGATGACGCATGAGCCACAATTTTCTGCGCCAATTTAACTGGATTCTTGATATATGATAGATCTGTTTTGAGCTTTTTCTTCGTAATATCACATATTCTATAAAAAAATGTGAGAAAAGACTTTCATTTATTGTAACAAATTTCGTAATAACTATATTATTTTTTAATGTAATTAATATTTTAATGTGTTGATGTAAGACAGAAAAAGATCTTTTTTCACCAGATGCCGAAAAATTAAAAATAAATCAATGTTACGCAACACTAAACACTCCCTTTCCTCGAGTAACGCAGCGTAACGCTGCCTCAAACTCCATACCCCCTCTTTAGCGTTACCTAATTTATGGACGACGCCCAAGAGATTTTTATTGACCATTTTGGGGACGCTTTAGGTCATCAAAATCCGCCTCGTCGTAACATTTCATCGTTTCAGAATTTGGCGGCGCGACGACAGGACCCTTCCCCTCGAGACGCCACTGCACCGAAGGGACCGCCATGTTGGTTTCCTGGGCAGCCATTTGCAGAGCTCGCGCGCCGCTGTTGAGACGGGCGGACTGGCGGGCGATGCGCCATCTCATCAGATTAAGAGACAAACAAATTCAAGAGATCTGCAGCAGAGTAGTGCGTGCGAAACAAACGTACCTGTTTGTGGCCTCCCACCTGTTTTAATTAAATTTGTTTATGATGCCAGGCCATGTTAAAACTTAGAGTGTTGGGAGAGTTTGTGATCGAGATGATCCAAAGTTCTTCCAAGGACAAAACTTTTGTAAATAACACGTTTATGCCGCTGATTAAGTTTATGACAATATTCAATGACGTCCTATTACAAGGGCTGGGTTTTTGAATCACGTCGACCCTAATGAATTCAAAGGAGAATATTGAACGTTATATATCGAGTGTGATCTTCTTCATTAAGTTGAGTAACTCACGTGTCAGTTGTTGAGAGTTCGTGGTCACAATTTAAAGTCGTATTCATGAAACGCTTTCTTGAATTACATTCATTTGAATGATCCCAAAAAAGGTTATGTTGAAATGGTTATAATTCAAATTTTTCAATTTTTCAAATTCAAGTACAATACGTTTGCTCCAATACATTTAAAGTTAAACGCATCGTGTAACTTCCTATTATTTTTGCTCAAATTGGTCATGACACACACAGTGCAATAAAACCAGTTCAGTAAAGTATAAAACTGGAATGGTCTTCTGAG